ACCCACCCATTACCCACCTGAGTTTGTTTTTCTTATATATATATATATATATATATATATATATATACAATTTTGCGACATTAATATTTTGTTGTGTGTGCTTATCAGGCGAGGCAATTTTATGACCACAAACACAGCCAGGCCACAAAGAGTTTGCGATAAGGGCAAACGCTGCATTAAGTAGCTGTCTTAGCTGCCACGGGGCGGATGGTGGGAGGAGTCCGTTGCAGTGCTAATTTGACCAGCAATTGTCGCTGCTCGGATCCTGGGGATTAATCTAATTATTTTGGCAAATAAATACAACCCGTTTTTCACCCTTTCGTAATTCGCCACAGCTTCACCAATAACCAAAAACAAGATACAGCCACAGCTACAACGCACAAATAACAAGTCAGAACAACCAAGCAGCACACACACATACTCACTCAGTAAGGACTGGCTTAATCCTGCTACACCCTTGCTTCAAGCGGAGAGTCTGCCATTTTTTCCAGGTAACTCTGGGCGAGGCGAGCCGAGCCGAGGCAAGGAGTAAAAGTGCGTCGCGCCCACCACAAGATGCACACAATGAGAGCGCAACGATCACCGATTGAAGCACATTTTAGGGTTAGGTTTTAGGGTTCCGGGAGTCCGGGTGTCCGGCTCCGGTCCGGTCAGGACAGCAGCCAGCAAGCATGGCTACCTGTGCAACCCCGTTTAATTACGCTGGTAAAGGGTACACCCCTTTTTGCTCGCTTGCCCAGCTTTGGCCTGGACCAATGTTTTGGTTTTTGGTCATGTCGTTGCCCAACGATGCCCTTGGCGGATTTTATGGCCATTTGCTGGCCCGTGCAAAGTCGCGGGCGTGACACGTTTATGGTGTGTTTAGATACTTTTCGCAAGCAATGCAAATCGCAACAATGCCAAAATGCACCCGTCCAACCTTGACTTTTACTTTTGCACATCCCTTTCCAATATAAACTACATTTGCCATATAACATATACGAGCCATAAAGCGCATATTTACCTAATTATGAAATGCATTTCAGCTCAAGTCACAAGTCTCAAGGCCTGAGATAATTTTTCGACTTTTACTTTTTGCCATTGGAGAATTTCTTTCCGTTTCAGTTTTCATTGGAAGCATTTTCGCTTTTCCCTACTTTTTGTGTTATTTTGTTCTGTTTTGCCTTCAAGGAAGTTGCAAAAGAACGGAAATTTGGTTGAAAGTTAAAACAGCATAAAATTGGTAAAATTTGCTTAAAGATACGGAGATCTTATCACAAAAGAAAGTTCCCAAATTTTGTACAAATTAACTTTGAAAACAGTTCACAACCTTCAATTTTAACTTAAATTGTTGGTTAATATATTATTAGCTATCACTTTGATCAAAATTAATAATACGATTAAAATATATGATTTCTTTTTAAAATCTTCTTAAGTTAAATATTCAAAAAATCATATTTTTTATTACTGATCACCCACTTATACAAAAAAAAAATGCATAATGTCGATTGTTAAAAGTTTAAATGATCTGCCTTAAAACAGACTTCATAGAATTAATTGAAGGTCATTTTAAATGCTCTTAAAAGTCAACTGCAGATAAAAATAATTGAAATCGTAGGCATAGGAAATTCATAAATAAAAAGAAAGAACTTTTGCGTGAAAAAAACCAAGAGCTCTGAAAAGTTACAAAATCCATGTGGGCAACTCCAAATTTTGAACGATTTGTGTTTTGGGCCATGCAATTTATTAACAAAACTACTTTGCCCTAAAAAAACCTCATTTTTTTCTGCGAAAAAATCTATTTAAAAAAATAAAAATAGGAGCAAAATGAAATCATAAAGAGAGCATGCATGAATAATGCACAAAACTTTGTCAAAAATTGCTAAAAACCAGTGCAACAGTCACCAAGGGACTTCTGCGAATCGCATACAGTTTTTATGGTTCAAAAAAAAAAAAAAGAAAAAAGAAATGCGAGAAGAAGAAGCAGAAGCAAAAGCCAAGTAAGTTGCCATTTATTGATTTTATGATGATTTTGTTTTTTGCTGCTCTCGTTGTTATATTTTTTACGCTCTACATTTTTTGTGCCCTCGGGGCAAAAACAAAACCCTGCTGCAGGCAGCGGGGCTACTAATGTCGAGCAGTTGAGCAGTCTTTTTGGCCGTTTTTATGGTTTTATGGCATAATGACTTCTTTATTGGTGCAGCATTTTAGGATGCTATCCTTGGCCAGGTCCTGCGTACTCGCTCTCTCTCTGCTTCTTTTTATGATGCTGGCTAAGTCGAGTCCGCTGGTTTCCGTTTCCGTGTTGCGAGTAGCAGATTCCGAGTCGAAATAAATATATGCAAATACTCAGCAGCAGATGTGTGTGTGTGTGTGTGTGTTTGTTAAGTTAATCCTTTTTGCATGTGTCTAGTGTTGGAGTAGCAGGAAGTTGACAGTTGGTGCCGCATAGCATGTGTGTGTGTGTGTGTGTGTGTGCTGGGAAATATTCGGCCTGTGTCTTTCATGTGACTCATATGGGACTGGGTCTGACTATCCGACTGTTTGTGTTTTTATCTATTTATTTATTTGTTTTTGTACACTTATGACATGATGTTAATTACTACGCGTGCATTCGGGATTGGCTATGGGAACCACTTTGAAATGGAAAAGTTCGCCGACTGTTTGACAAGTGTCAACAGCGGCGAGTTGCCAGTTGCCAAACGGCCAAGAAAGCTGCCAGTGCCAAGACAGAAACAGAACACTAAGTACAACAACGACAACAACAACAACAATAACAACAACAACTAGCAACTGTCTAACACACACACACGCGTCGGACGTCAAGTCGGGAATTTTTTTTATTTTATTTTTTTTCGGCCAGGATATTTGATTTAGCCGGTTGACTTTGCATTTGTCTTGTTGTCTGTTGTTTTAAGGAATTGGGAAAATTGTCGAAAAATTGTTGGGTAAATATTTTGTAATTGGCTTTCATCGACACAGTAGTGGCTTTTGCCATTAGTCCCACCGGGGTAAAGTCAACAACACCGTAAGTGTGCCACTAAGCTTCCCAAAGTCCTTGCTTAGTCCTGCTCTTAGGCCAGGACTAAGTCGGTGTTTGCTTTCGGGTAAACCCTATGATAATAACCCATGGGAAAAGTACTGTTTAATTGATGGATTTGCAGCATTTGTTAATGTGTGGTAAACCCAGGAAGGAAATCGTTGTGGGAAAATTTAAAACTGAGAATGTCTATTAGATGTTGAATGAAAGAAATAGTAACTTCCATTTGTATTTCTGTCCATCTATATATGAATTTTCTGTGTTTATTTAAGATATAAAATAAGTACATACAAGTAAATACTTTTATAAAATAGTCTTATAATCAAAAATGAACAATTTGACACGTTCACATTTGTGTTCACCATTTATATAATTGTGTACAACATTTATATAAATATACATTCTGCGGAAATTACATAATGAAACTAGCAATAGCTGATAAGAAACTTAAAAAATGTTTCCCAAAGATCGATTCAACGAAAAAATCTCTGCCGATAACAGCCAAATGTAAATAAAAAATAATTTTTATTGCCTGAAATCAGTTCTTAAGCCGAAGTGAATAAATTTTAATTTAAATATTTAAATGGCTTGAATATATATTCCGTAACCAAGTACTTTTTATTTGATTGGAATTTATTTCTTAATAATAAATAAAAATCTGGTAAAGTTTTTCTTTAATAAATGTTTTCTTCTTTGAGTGTTGCAATTTGTTATGGCAAATTTGTCCATTACGGCAAATCCATTATATCAATTTTGCATATTAAATAATGATCATCTAGCGAAAAATCATTATATATAATCATTTTAGCTGTAAAATTACAGAAAATTCAATCAGATGCTGTTGTTTTCTGCTTCTCTTGTGCGGAATTTGTAAAGTGCCTCTGCCTAACTGGTAACTCTCCGGTAATTCAATTAGGTATATGTGCTTAAGAGACTTTTCAAGATCCTCTTAAGTGTATAGTTTGAAGCATTTCAAGTATTAAAATTCACTACAGGTCAATTTCAATGGGCGATGGAAGGTGCACTTTGAAAACAAATTTAATAAACATATAGATTGTAAATGTTAATAGTTTGTTTAAAATTCCTCATTTATCGCTGTGTAAAGTCAACCCGAAATATGCTTTTTAATATAATTTGCGAAGTTTGGGATGCATTTTGACGGCAAATTGTATTTGTAACGTTAAATCATTGTTCTCAAAATCTGCATAAATGATAGGAGAAAGGAGACACAATCACCCTATCCGACAAAATTGAGTTTAGCCCAATATTTGCTTTGATGCGAGTAATTGAATTTTCTGTTTAAAGTGTAAAAGCGTAAAACGTGGGAGGCAGTCAAAAAAGTGATTTCTGATTTGTGTGGTAAATTAAAATTTAAATGAAATCGAATCAGGCGCACGCACACACATGCGAAAGGGACAATAGATTACAATATCCTGGGGCGAGGCAGAAAAAAAAGAGAAAAGTACAAAACAGCACGAACAACAACGGCAACGTCAGCAGCAGCAGCAGCAGCCGGACCAGGAGCAGGAGCAGAAGCAGGACACCCAGGCCCAGCTGGCCGGGGCATGCGCCTGGGTGGGATGCGGGTCGACTCCGGCCTGATGGCTGCCTGCCAGCCAGCAGCAGCAGCAGCAACAGCAGCAACGTCGGCAGCAACGTCAGCAGCAGCGACAGCAGCAGCAACGGCAGCCGACAACGGCGTCCGACCATCAGGCAAACAGTTTCCGCTTGTTTACTGCCAGTGAGCAGTGAGCAGAGAGCAGAAAACGAGAACGGAGTGGAGTCTCCCAGTGCGATGCCAAACACGCGCGCAGAGTGCAGACAACAGCAACGGCAACAACAGAAGAACAAAAAAAGCGATACAGATACGGCAGCCGCTGGGAGTTGAAATCAGCCAATCAGGGCGCATCATGGGGCAGCAGGTAGGCGTGTACGTATCTGCCATTTCCAAATAAATTCCAACCCCGACAACAACAATGGCAACAACAACAACAACAACTTCAGGCAGCTGCTGTTGGTTCGCTTCAAAACCGGTCGACGACGCCGCAGTTGCATTCAGTTATTAACGAGCGCTACTCACAGCTACAGCAGCAGCCACATCAGCAGCGGCAGCAGTAACAGCAGCAGCAGCAGCAACAGCCACAGCTACAGCAGAAGTCACTTCACTCAACACACACACACACACACACGCATACTATCAGTTAAACTGAGAGAGAGAGCGAGAGAAAAGGACAGAGCGAGAGGGCTAGAGAGCACTTGATAAACAGAATTTGAGTCGCCGCTTCGAACATTATTTTCACGAGTTTGAGTCGGAGAGCGCAAAACGAAAACAGAATTCAGTTTGAGTTGAGACGTTGTCGTGGGCACGTCGCAGCAAAGAGAAGAGCGCAATAGCGACACACAGCGACACACACGCACACAGACAGCAGAAAAGGCGTAAAGCAAACCAAAGCAACGAAACAAGTTTCAAAAAAAACATTTAGTGCAAAGTGACGAAAGTGCAAAACAACCAAATCAATAAGTGCTAACAAAATACTAAACAACATAAACTGTTCCACAAAACCCAAGAAAAACAAAAGGGAATATGTCTTCTACTTCCGCCTCGCCCATCAGCAACATAACCGTGGACGACGAGCTTAACATAAGCAGAGAACAAGGTAAGCACCAGCTAAATAAAAAGCCGACGGCAAAATTTCAATTTAGTGGCTAGTGCATTCATTCATTGAGCATAGGCTGGAGCAGTATTTGGATTGAACACAATTGAACTAAATTGAAGAATTTATTTTTGCTTTCTTGTAGACTTTGCTGAGGAGGATTTCATTGTCATTAAAGAGGAGCGTGAGAGCAGCTTATCTCCCATGTTGACTCCACCGCATACTCCAACCGAGGAGCCACTTCGTCGTTCGACCGGCAACTCAGCCAGCTCAACCACAGCCACCACTGAGGAGTCGGTGGCAACGCAACTGCATATGAGACACATGGCGCATTACCAGCAACAGCAGCAGCAGCAGCAACAACAGCAGCAGCAGCAACAACAGCATCGCCTCTGGCTACAGATGCAACAACAGCAGCATCCACATGCCCACTATCCGGTTTATGCTGGAGCTAATGCTGATCCTGTTGCTGTGCATCAGCAGGCGCTGCTGATGAACCAGTGGATACGCAATGCGGCCATCTATCAGCAGCAGCAGCAGCAGCAACAACAGCAGCAGCAGCAACAACAACAGGCAGCAGCTGCCGCTGCAGCGCATCATCACCATCCGCATTCCCATTCACATCCTCATCCCCATTCCCATCCACATCATCCGCACCATCATCATGCACATGCTCATGCCCATGTGCGTCCCTATCCCGCTGGACTGCATACCCTTCACGCCGCCGCTCGCCATTTTGGCGTCATGCCCAATCTGAAGTTGAGCGGTGCAGCAGGTGGAGCAGGCGCCACAACGGGCAGCAGCCGCCCCAAGAAGCAATTCATCTGCAAGTACTGCAATCGCCAGTTCACCAAATCCTACAATCTGCTCATCCACGAACGCACCCACACGGATGAGCGTCCCTATTCCTGCGATATATGCGGCAAGGCATTCAGGCGTCAAGATCATCTGCGAGATCATCGCTATATACACTCCAAGGAGAAGCCATTCAAGTGCAACGACTGCGGCAAGGGCTTCTGCCAGTCCCGCACGCTGGCAGTGCACAAGGTCACTCACTTGGAGGAGGGTCCACATAAGTGCCCAATCTGCCAGCGTAGCTTCAATCAGCGTGCCAATCTCAAGAGTCATCTGCAGAGTCACAGCGAGTCGGCAACAGCAGCGCAGGCAGCATCTGCAGCCCCGCCAGCAGTAGCAGCATCAGTTGCATCTCCAATTGCTGCTCAGCCACCAGCCTTGGATCTGTCCTCGTCGTCGGGTGGTGCTACGGTGGAGCGACCGAAGCGCATGCTGGGCTTCACCATTGATGAGATAATGAGTAGATAGATTGGGCAGCTGGTCGCAACTTTATTGGTTTTATACGTTCCGGATGCATCACACACATCCCAGAATGCTGAGCGCCGCCAGGCATGGGAAATGCCTGGTCTGGAGTCGCAACCGTCGCAGTCGCAGCTCAGCTCAGCTCGAGTCGAGAGGGAGACGCCCACACGCAACTCGTCATCGCCGTCGTCGCCCTATCTCCAACCAGTGAACCAGCCAGTTCATGAAGAGAACGGATCACAGTCACAAAGAGCCCCAATCGAAGCTATATAAACCCAATCTTATATAGCTATCGCATTGGCGCTATCAACTGCAAAATGCCAAAGTAAAAAAATAAATAAAGAAAAGAAAAGAAAAGAAAAGAACGAAAGAAAGAACTTAGTTAAATGTATTGCGAAAGAAGCGCCTCCTACAAAACCATTCCAAAATACGGCACAGAGGAGTACTCTTGCCACACTATAAATTAATATATACAAGTATATTTTAAGCTTCAATAGTATGAGTATCAGACGTATATAGTTATGTAATCGTATGTACCTTATAGCCTGTAGTAGCTGCATTCAGTTTGTAATACACCAATACCAATACCAATTCCCAGAGAAAACCTCAGACCTCTATCGGTTATTTTTTCAAAGACTGTATAATTAATTGATTGTTTTAATTGAATATTATAAATACATAAACCAATATTAAATCGATCCATGCTTTGTTAATTTTAGTTAAGTGTTATGCTTGTTTCTAATGACAAACACACGAGTTCTATATATCAATGTATATTTGTAGGCTGACTGCGCACAAAGACACAACAACGATCTCATTATCTTAGTTTAGTCTAGTTGTATATATATATGTATTTACCATGATAAGAAAAATATATTTGAGTTATGAGTAAATCCAAAAACTGAAATTTATTTGCCTGTTTTACCATATTATCTCGAGTTTCTGGGAAAAGCTTATGGAAATTGGGGGTTTCTTTGTATCTAAATTTCCAGAACTGCTATACTAATTGATTTATATAGGTAATTTAGGAGAAATTGAGTCAAACTACATTTATTGAGTTCAAATAAAAACAGCTATTCTAAATGCTGTTAATGTTTTTAATTATGCTGAAGAAATAAAAAACTTAATTTGAAAGCAAATTACAGTCAATATCAGAGATCAGGTCAACAAAAATGGCTTTATTTTAGCTTATCTGAAAACTCTGAAATTACTAAAATGTGCATTAAATCGATCAATCGATCAACTGCAAGATTATCATTTTTCTGGATTTGCCTAGAAGAATCTGCATTTGTTAAAAATATGATTTTTTGGCTATGTATAAAAAACTATTTTCTTTGTTTTATGGTTTTTGAAGTAGAATATAAATACAATATTTATGTATACATTCTAATAATGGATGAGGAATTCCTGGAAAACGCATTACCTAATAAATAAATTTGTATTTTTATTATTATTATATGTATATATATTTATCAGTCGCACATGTTTCAAATATTTTTCAGCTTGCCTCACCAACAATCAAAATGAAATTGTATTCTAGTTGAAAAAGTTGTCAACTTATATTAGGCAAATGCATAACTCAAAACACTTCATATTTTAAGCGACTTTTAATTTGCAAGTTTCCAATTAAGTGGCTAACTTGCTGGATAAGGCAACTGGTTTAGTCTGAAACTGTCACCGATTTTAATTTATGATAACTCTTGAATTTGATGTTCGCATTTTGTATTGAGTATGTTATTCGGTTGTGACTGGGGTGTGGTTGCCATGTTTTAAATTGTTGTCAAGCATTCTTTAGAAATCCATAGAAATCGGCACAGTGGTTAGGAACGTGCCAAATGGCAAAGATCAAGACAATTGTATTAAGAACTATGCTGTGGGTTCGATTTCTGGATCTAGAACTGCAGTCAACTGCATTGCTATTAGCACGCGCAGTACCAGGAATTGTATGCAGGGCTCCGAGCTGAGATAGTTATCTTTAGTTTGTCTTTAATTGAGGTTAAGGTCGTACCTTTCTTCTAGGGGTTGATAACGGCACCAGAGTCTGCCCCGCATGCCACAAGCTGAAGCAGAAATATTGCTTCTTGTGGTTGTTGCTTTCCCTTGATTGGTCCAGCTGCCATTTCATTTGCTGCCTCAGTTTTCCTTAAATATCTATCTTCTTTTATTTACCTATTTTATCTTTTTGATGACACTGCCATTATGTCCATGTACAATTGATTTTCGACCATCGAACAGCTCTCAACTGCCAACTGTCAACTGTAGCATGCAAAATGGAATGGAATAAGGCATCAGGAAGTACATACATATATTGACGTCTACATTGCGCCTCAGCTGTGGCGTCCTAGGTGGCAACCGGTCAACCGGACAAGTATACCGGGACGCGCCCTCCTGGCACGCCCAGTGCCATACACATTTCAATGTGGACAGCCTGCGGCTCTCTCTTGGCCAGTGGGTTGGCCAGCAAACGCAGCGAGGTACTGTCTATTTTGTATTTGTGCTATTTTTTTGTTGGTCTTATCTTTTGGTCAACCAAAGAACTTGTTGCTATACAGTTGGCTGGCCTGTTCGCCTGGATATGTGTGTTTGGCAACAGATCGCCGCAGGATACGTGGCTGCGAGGATGCTAGACTGTGGCCCGGTTCATGTCGCAGCATTCGACACACATTGTCCACAAACAGGCCCATAATTGCACGAATCCGCACTGCGTACAACCAAAATATTTTGTGAAAGTCACAGCGGGTGGCCGGGCAGACAGGACAGACAAGTCAGCCAGACAAGGATGGAGAATGGCGTGTTATCCTGTGAGCTCAGATTGATGGATATATTGTCGCCTTCACTCAGTGTCAGCCAACGAGTATTTACGTGTGTTCGTCTGTGTGTGTGTGTGTGTGTGTGTATTTGTGTCGTTTTTAGGCCACAATTAAATGCATCGGTTCCGCAACTAGGGTGGCATCTTCTTATGCCCCTTGTCCCTTCCCCTGCCCTTGTCCCTGCCCCTGTCCCTGCCACTGCCCCTGTTGTCGACATTCGGCTGATTAAGCAGCAGGCAGCACTGGACAACGTCTGCCAAAAGTGAGCCATTTGCTGCCCAGCAGCCCAGATGCATCCCTCCGAGCAGCAAGCCTCTATTGCTCGATGGCAGCTACCCCCGGGGACTGACTGCTTGCCAGCTCGCTGGCTTGCTTAATGATATGACCCTGGAACTGTTAACATGGCCCGGAGTCCCGGGCACGTTCGCACTCCAAGTGGCCTTGTGACCACCCAGATTTCGTACTGGGTCTGAAATGAAGTTGCCTCTCGGCTCAATTTGGGCGGCAATTAAAACGTTGCCAATCGATTTGCCGCCATTCAATAATAATGCCACAGCGAATGGCCAACAGCCACATTAGAAATGAACGCCATTTTTCTCTAGAGGCTTCGTTGACAGCCACCGCACAAGGGCGACGACGACGGCGACGGCGGCGGCGACCAGCCATCGAGTGGTGCTCAGCGTCAAGTTGTTGCCCATGATCACAATCACGAGCCAAGCGAGCGTAGCGAGATGATTAGAGATGATGATGACAGCATCATAGCATCCACGGCCTGGCCATAGCTCGACTCAACTTGTTGCTCAAGTGGGCCAAGCCCAAAACTTGTCTCCGGTAATTGTACATTGTCGATGCTGTCATCTTGTACCATTTGATATGCCGACGCCCGCCTATTGCAATGACAAAAAAGCGCCGCCATGCCACTTGGCTTCATCAAAAAAGAGTAGAAAACAAATGGAAAAAAAAATCGACAACTTTTACTCCATCATATAATGTGATTTAATCAATTGTTAATTACTTCTTAGCTGGTAGCTTGGACTTGAAATGGGTTAAATATTGTTTGGAAGCTCAACTGCTTTTGAGAAATTTTGATTTGACAGACTAACTTATAATAATTGTTATATTATTATTTAGCAGCAACAATGATTTTTAGTTTAAATTTGTATGCTTTAAGTCTTTTCCATATAGTATATGAAATCAGTCAGATTTTTCTGATGTCTAAATTTAACATGCAATGAAAAGTAATTGACAAAAAGCAAAAATCTCCTGATTTTCTCGAGCTTTGTTTTCTGTAGGATTTCCCAATTGCATGAGGCCCAACCCTTTTTTGAGTCCCTTCACACATTTTCCGCACAGTAGTTGGACATGTCACAACTTGATACTGTTGTCGTTCCCTAATTGCATTACACGCGTTCTTACTTAGCAGACGAGCCCCACTCACTCACACACACTCACACACACACTAAGTGATATTTACTTGGAGATACTTGAAGCATCTGTAACTCACTTAACTACGAGAAATGTCACTGTCACTGTTACTGTTACTGTAATGGTTTCAAACATCTTGAACTTGTCTCGCTGGGTGTTCTTAGTTGAGATTTTATTGGCCCCGTTCCCCGGTTGCTATCCCGATCGCCCTGTCAGCTGGCTATCTATCTGCTATTTTGACACTTTTGTTTTGCCTAAAGGTGTTTTAAATATATAACTTACTTTGACAGAGAGTGAGAAACCCCAATGAGAGCCACGGCAAACAATACGAATTGCTCTAACAATTTAATCGGTATGCGTGCTGGCTTATCGCCAGGTCTCAATCGGGGCACTGGGCATTAATTGACACCTTACACACAGGCAAGGGCTAAACCTAAGACCGAAACTGAACCCTGACAAGGGACTGTCAATTAGTTGCTGAATTTATCGGCAGGCACAAATCAGTTTTGGAAAATTTGTAACCCGAAAACGCCGTTGACTTGGCCTAAAAGAGCGATCAATTTTATTGTAAACTAACTAGGGAGGTCTCCGAATCTCCGAATACCCCATCCCTCTAATACACATCTCGTATAGCACTGTGTGTGTGTGTGTGTGTGTGTGTGTGTGTTAGCCAAGCACTTATTGAGAACTTAATTGAATTACACAGCGAGAACGAGAATGAGAATGAGAACGGGGACGAGAGACGATAGACGAGAGACGAGGGACCCGCACCTTGTCCCCAAGGCGTTCTAGTGTATCGCTGAATGTCCGTTGATTGTCTCTTGTCCGTTGTTGTCTGTGTAGTCTGTGTTGTCTGTTGTTGTGGCCAGCAAAAGACAATAACACCAACAACAAGCGGCAATGTAGATGAAACGTCCAATAGTCTCAGTCGCAGACTTAGTACCAGCCACCAGGCAAACGCGTCCATGGTGTCAGAGTCAGTCAGAGTTTCTACACAACGAAAAATTAAGCAATCGAATTCAATGAAATTTTATGGTAAAACTGTAGAAATTTGATTCTAAAAAGCATCATTGCTAATGTCTTATAATTCATCTAATTCAATCAATCTAAATGAGAATCAATTCCGTAGGCATAGAAATTAATTGTAGAGTCTAGGAAATATTTGTTCTCGATTTGGGCGATCTTATAAACTCTAGGATATTTTTTTGCGAGTGTATAGATGGCAGTCTTGGGGAGGCAACAACTCTTTTGTTTGTATCGCTTTTCACTTGTGTGCATGCGTTTCATTTTATTCCCATTCCCATTCCCAATCCCAATCCCAAACCCATTCTCCATTCTCTGTTCTTTGACATTTTAATGCGCCCGTTGGCGTTGACGCCTGACGCTGATGGTGGTCACTTTGAGCTGGGCACACTTGAAAATGGTGTGATAGCAATAATCCGATATAAATAAGACATTATAAGCGACTTGCCTGTGCTCGCCACAACAAGAACGACAACAACAACAGCAACGACAACGACAATAAACACAAAATTTATTTGTTTGGATTACAAGGAACTGAATCCATTGGCGACGACATGTGGCGCTTCCCGTAA